TTTTTCAAAGAACTTTCACGTAATTTATTTTACTTACTTTTTCCTAGTTATTCTATCATAATATTTTTATTTTCATTGTATAATGTTCAATGAACTGATTCAACTAACATTTCTTCATTAATTTGTGAAGGAACTTTTGACATTAAGTTTCGTATATTTGTCCTCGGATTTGCTTTAATTTGCTATGTATAAATTGTCCATCCTTATTTGTTAATGATTTCTTCCTTTCTGACTGTATACGTTTCTATAAAATTATTTACCATTTCTCGTATTGTAAATGCAGTTAATCGAAAAAAAATCTCTGACAAATTATTTATTTACTTTCGAATATTGTTTTATATCAAGTTTTCGTGTTAAAATGTCAGTTTTGATGTTATGATAATTTATTTTACTATTAAAGTTCATTTTATAAATAATAAACAGTTATTTGTTTTAAAATTTTTATGGCTGCGGTATGTTCAATTTTGTGCAAGTAAAACAACCTGCGCTTTGCCATTTTCATTAATATATAAATAAATATTTTACATTATTCATAAGTTTTATTTTCTTTAATTAATTGTTCATTAAAACGTACGAATAAAATATATGCTTTCTTAATTCTATTCTTGTTTGTTTGTATTTATTCTCCCGACAATTTCCTTTTCCTATGTAAGTTTACGCTTAATTTTGCGGGTATTTGTACAGAACAACTTCGATCAAAAATGTGTTACCTAAAACACCAGAGTCAGAAATGAAATATTACTGTTTATTACAAAAGAGAAACGATAATTTCAATGTAATTAAATAACATATTATTTGTTTAAATATTTGAGAATATTTATTTCTATTTAAACAAATTAAGTTTAGTCAGAAAAGTGATCGTTATATTATCCGAAAATTTCGTAATGATTTTTTCCTTTTCAATAATATGAAATAATAATTTACTGCCACACAGATGAGATGTACATAGATGTAAATGTATATAATTAAATCGATTTATGTGTTTAGTCGAAATTGAAATCAAACCAATGTTACCTTCAAAATTAAGTAACAGATGACTCTGACAGCTCTACAGTAAGAAAGATTCTATAATTTGAAAGTGGTGTAACGAAATTTTCTGGGACTATACAAGAAACTGAGGAAAGGAAATGTTTATTTGAAACAAAATATTTTTTATTTATGCTATCATGTATGAATGATGTATTAAAATATTGTTCAAATAAATATTTTAAATTGTAGTTGCATTGTGGATTTGAAACATAACCTATAAAACGATTCCGTAAAATGAGAGTACAAATTTTGTTTTGAATATACATATTTGCAACGTCTGTAACTCGATAATGATTACTCACAGCATTTGTTAAATATCTGTTATAGCTGATTTACATTAGTTTTATTCAAGTTTGGTGCTAACGAAACTTGCAGATTTGCGAAACTGAAGAGTTTAACGTTTTTGTGTTTCGAACCAGTATTTAAATAAACAGAAACGGTTGAAGATAAATAAACAACCGGAAAAACTTTTCGGGATGACGTATTACTGTGGTAAAAAAGGTGGTTAATACAGTGGTAAAACGGTTCTAACAACTTAATGAATGTGAATGACAACGAGTAATTTGTGACCGTGCGCACAAAATCGCGAGCACACAGGAGCAAAAATAGCATTATCCATAATTTTAGACCAGCGATATAACGGGAGTCCGAAAACGATTTAGTTATCTCCGTTTATCGATCGACAGTACTGTTTATCGGAAACATTAATGAAGTCATTGCTGTGTTTACTTAGCTGACGGAAAAACGACCGTATTAACAGCGGATATCGAAGCAACCGAACGTAAAGTAAACGGGTGCGGAACTTCTAACTTAAAGTTTTTATTGCCAGCGGTTGTTTAGTAGCTTATTAAACTGGATTAACAGTTAATGATTTTTTAATCAATTTTTCAATAACAATAACTGATAATTGTATATAGTAGCTGTAATGTGGCTATATAATATAATAATAATATATAACTTGACAGTTTATTTTAAGCGTGTTATTTAAACGAAAATCATTAAGCTCATTTCCAATAGAATACAAATGTTAAAAAACGCAGGTTTTTGGTAGGTAAATTTGAGTGTAACCACCGGATCATAATGTACTCAAATACAGATATCTTAAGCTATCAGATATGTATACATGGATACTGTACGTTAAATCTGTATGCCAATCTATTTCCACTATGTTGAATGCGTAACCATTAAATGTACCAAACCACAATTTATGACGCCGCGCAAATGGAAAAATAAACAAAATCAACTAGCGGTTTAACCCAGATACGCCTATCACCCTTTCATAAAAATGATTGCAAGATAATGTTATTTTGCAATTTCTATCAGCATCGTTCGCATTTATTAATATTCTTTCACTCAAATGATTGAAACATATTCTTCAAAACTAGTTAACCTGTTAACTCGGATAAGATGAATTAACTTGTTATTTGTGTTGCCATTCATCAACTGTATAGTTAAAAAAAAGTACTTCAATGTTAACCTTATTAACTCTTTTTGATATATCAAACCAGACTCGACATTATATTTTACTCCAATTGAATACATTTTACTCAACTTTACATATACATTATACTTTAATTTCGATATGTTTCGAATGTCATACATATAAATTCTCTAAGAAATGTATTAATATCTATTTAAAATAAATAACACCGAATCAGGTACTGGAACAAAAAACCAGGAACAGTTTACGCCTCAAAGGGTTCATTTTCTTCAACCACGAAGTATCACCTATTTAAAAAATCCACGATAATACAAAAATGTAATCCATGTATTCAACAAAAAAAATTACATTCACTAGAAAATATTATAAGAGAAATTTAAGAACATCTGGGTTAAAGCGTCCGCAAGAAAACCTCTGGATGTAGTAAGATGCAAGCGAGGGAAGGTCCACAGTTGCGAACGGTCGATTGTTACAAAAAAAAAGAAATGAACGAAGAAGTGCCGCGATTCGAAAACGGTAAAGGAGACGGGGGAGGGGAGAAGCGTGGCGTGGGTGGTTCTGTGTTAAATAACGGCCACGGCCGTGAAACGGACTGCGGTATGTTTGGACGTCGAGTGA